TAAAGTCCTGTCCTAGATAGACACCCACCACCTTCACAACATCACCTTTATGATATATTAATTATAGTGGGTTCACAATTTGGCTTATAAGAAGTTTAGTTTGTCGTAGTTTTGTTTTCTTTGTTCACACAAACAACTAATATACACGTCTCTCTTTTCATTTCGCTGCACCACAACATCTAGAATTGATTAAACGCCCTGGCCGTTGATAAATTCTTTTACGGTACCAACGAACACTCAAAATAAAGCAAAATATATATCATAAATGAATTTCACTTTTAACATTTCGAGAATTCCGCTGCGTCGACATTTTCACTTTACGGTGCTTTTTGTGAAATAAACAGCACCGCATAATCCAATATCATCGAGCATATGTGATTGTTACACAAAAAGCATGCAGCCAGTAGCAATGTTTTGTTACAGCAAATAGTTGACAGTTGTGGATTTAAATTTTTTAACAAATTATGTTTCAAATAAAATATTGATTTTTTAGTTAGTACAACGACCCTTTAGCATGGACCTTATTAGTAGCAGAGTATGTAGCATCTTATAATAAAAACAACCCCAAAAACCGATCACGTTCTTTCTTAACATCAGAATGTTACTTTAGAATGTGATTGTAGGGAGGGTTGGTATTGCGCAGAGACGTGCAATGATTACGGTAGGCGTGCAACATGACAAGAGTGTTCGATCTGTAAATTGGCTTACGTGTTCTGTGAAATGGAAGCAGTGCTCAGTTACGTAGATTAATAATTTTGAGTTTTATATTATTTCAATACAAAAGCGTATCGATTCATTTCATTTTCTCTTACAGCGGCAGTGCCATCAAGGGTGCCGAACCAGACCGCACTCTCGTCAGCATCGTTTCGTTAGCTTGAACATCGGTAAAGTTAGTCATCTGTTTGAGCAGGGGCGATCTAGGATATTTTAAACATCAGTCATAAACGTCGGAGGCGCTCCGCACCGGGGTCTGAGGCTATTCTCCTGAGAAATTTTGAATTTCAGAGCCTTAAATGCCATTTCAGCGTTTTAGCATTACAAAATGTATTTTGTGGGCATCGTTTTGCTGGTAAATACAACAAATTTTGGTTACGTTTTTTTCAAAAAAAAAATGAAGTGAACAATACTTGAATGTTTTGCCAAATGTTTAGGCTCATTATTATGCCAAATATATGGCTCATTAGCATGTCTAGGAACGTAAAATTTATTTTACAATAATGCTATATTCAAAAACAGATATAGCCTTTAAAAATTTCTACCAAGTTGTCAGGCATAGACCCCCCTAGAGACCCTCATTTAAACGTCTATGTAATGAGTTAAGTTAGAAATTTGGTACTACAAGTGACAGTTCATAGATATAGAAAAGCTCAGACTTCAAACCATGCAAGTTTATTGTAACCCTTTACCCATCTCCATATCAGTATTAGCAAATTCACCTTTTGAGAAAAAACTCAAAATTTTTTTCTGCCAAAGAACAAGCAAAAATTATCAGAGTGAAAATTTGCAGTTAAGGACAGCTTAATGCCCTAAATGATTATTAGGCATTTCACTTGACTATTATCTTCTTCAAGGTGTGCTATATAGCAATCACTAGTAGCATTGTATTATCAAATACAAAACAGAATGTAAACCAACATGTCTTTAATTATATAATTACATGAATGTTAAAATTGGTTCATGTGTCATGCTTACTGGTTATGATAAATATCTTTTCATATGATCAAAGCTCGTTTAAATGTAAATCTGAAATAATTTAGTCTAGAAATTATAATGATCATCAGAAAAATTACCTAGTGATCATGAAAAATACTTTGCTGTTTTGCCAAATTTCAAGGTTTATCTGCATACATAGGAAGACATTTTCACTTTATAGAAAATGCTTTCCATACATCAATAGCCCTTTGGAATTTATGGCAAACAATCTGGTATGAGCCGTGGATTAACACACCTTTACATCTCTACATGAGGTGTTCAGTTAGAAAAGGGGACAATATGTGACATGGGACAACATTTCATGCATGTGAAATACTCAGGTTTAATACCATTTCAGTCAAATTGTCAAAATAAAAAGCTTCATGGATCAGAAGACTCAAAATCACAGGTTATAGTAAACAGCTTCTCATGTAATCAATGTTAGTTTTCTCAAATCTTAAACAATATGTAGTATAACTGTCCAATGATTGAATGATCAATGATCATAAACTGAAAAGCCCCAAACATTTGTTTATGATAAAGTAAATAATAGTATGGCGCCTTATGGCTACAGATTTTTTGTCCATTGAAATATATTTGCAGGAATGTAGGATTTCGCTGCCATATAACGGCCACGATTCCCAAGCACTAAAGAAATCATAGCTAAAAGTCCTTCGTCAACAACAATTTTAGAAGCATAAATCTGCTTACCATACGCCATATTGACATAAATCGCATCACACACTCGCATAAATTGACTTTGATATATTACATTCATGCATACACTTCACTTGTCCTTTACTTACGATTTTGTTGATGTAAATTTCTGCTGATAAAACTCAAAACAACGTTGGCTTGCTTTTAACATCAATGACTGAAATGTCGCTCGCGAGATCGTCTTTGCCAAGCATTTACAATTCATCCATAAACTTTTCGCCCTCTTGAAAAATTCCAGTTTGGAAAGCAGCATTCATGTCAATATATGAATTTGTAAAAGATATCCATAAATTCCATCTGATTGTAGTTTAGTTTCTATCATGCTTTAGAAAATTATTATGAAACGATCAAACATTCAATTCAGACAGTGCGCTTGACTATGTTAGTTCAGTTGCCTATCAGTCGAAATAGGTCAAACCAATCACAGTAAGACAAAAATTTAAACGAATCAATTACACGATAGCAAGTGGACTCCCTTATAGGTCCGGCCACCCCGCTTATCGGTCGAGATTATTCCAGATCGTCCACTGATCTGGCTATTGACCAATGAAATAAGCGTTTTTGGCGTTCTTACACTCCTTTATCCGTCGAACCAGTCAAGCCACCCCGCTTATCAGTCAGTTATTCCAGGTCAATTAAAATTCAACTGACCTGGTTACCAAGGAGATATTCATTGGATTAGTCATTAGTTTTCAATAATAAATAAAGCTGGATTTTTATCACGAAGTAAATGCGATAATAAGGTAAGAATAATTAATGAATTTTTAATTGATATGAATAGGTAATTTTTGAGTTTCAAACATCAGTAGCGCGACGGTTTTGACATACTCTAGATCCGCCCCTGGTTTGGAGTTAATCTCGAGCAAAATATGAAACATGGGAAGGCTTGTAACGTTAAAAGACAAATTGGATGATTTAGACGGACAAATCATGAAATTCGGTGTTTTCAAAAACTCGCCCCAGACCCCGTTGCTCAACTGACAAAGCTTTGGATACGTCTCGGCTATTTTATATAATATGAATGCTCACAATTTTAGATGAATTGGGTTGGGCAGAGAGAGCTAATTGGTTGGGATATATGTCGCATATAAACTCTACTTGTAGGACATTGATAAATAATAAAGAACATAGTTCTTTCACAATTCAACGACAGGTCAAACTTCCGGTGTTGTACAGAAGACGAGAAATGACTGTGCACTAACATGACGTCACAAACCAAATGTTTGCGTGATATCAGTTATACTAGATACGTGAACAACTTAAATTACATAATAAGTGTACAAAAGTAGCTATTCGTTTACGAATAGTAGCTATGTCGTCTATTCAATGTCACTGTCCACTTCCGAGAGCTCTTCGATGTTTTCATCTTCAGTATCGGATTCCTCATACAGTGAGCATTCAGATTCATTGGGAATGTTGACATCATTGGTTAAGTTGACAATCTAGCATGGAGAAGAAAGTTTTCCAAGCGGAAGCTCAAAACTTTTCTTCAAGCTGAACAACTCATTCCGCAATTTGATTTTAAATCTTATCAGTTCATGCTTTGAACCAAGCATGAATTCATCGCTGCTCAAATCACCAATATCAGCAAGTGCTTCATCAATTTTGAGATAAGATTGGTGTAATACAATAGAAGCCTTTCTCTTCCAAGTTTAAAAGTTTCTCTTCCTCGTCACATCGTTTTAGGATTAAGTACATTTCAAAAGCCTTCCTCTTTGTGTATACTGGGACCGAGGCTTCCTAGAATGTCATCCTCACCAGACTCAAACCCTCATAAAGGTCTGATGTAGGATCTTTCGCTTTGTCAAATGTCAGACGATCGGGTAAACTGTTTATAAAATCATGAAGAGAATCAATGGCAGCATTGTGTTTCTCAATTGTTAATTTCATCTTGTTCGTGATCTTGGTGATTTGCCTGACAAGCGAGTGGCAATTTTCTGACCATCTAAACAAGTAAAGGAATACAAAATTAACATTTACAAGAACAACAAAAGACAGATATGTAACATAGCTTAGGTTACAAGTATTCGAAATTTACAGTGCATTACAGTACCTGCATACTTCTTTCTCAATGTTATTAAGAAATGCCTTTCTATGGAAAGTCCATGTAAAGTCCGACAGTATCTTTCGTTTCTTTTGTATGACTTGCAATGCAACGTCAAAATTAGGATGACCAGGTTTCCATCTTTCTTTTACAGAATGCTTTCGTTCAATATCTTTTAAAATCTTTCGAAACCTGTTTACATAAATTTTGCGCGTATGTAAAAAAAAATTTAAAGCAAAATATTGCTTTGACACATTTATACATACTGGTATAGTTTTTTCGACATCTGATGAATTGAGTAATCTTCAGACGTTATCTCTTGGTTTTCTTCAAAACATCCGAATGATGTAGCACTAAGAATTTAATAATTCACCAATTAGGCTCAAAAGAAATATTAAAACGTCTATAGGCATGTATTATAGAGAAATAGCCAGTTTAGTACATTAAAAAACCTACCTTAGTTGGTTTTTTAGTAACCTACCAACTACAGGTAGTTCGCTAAATAAACCTTCATTTCTTGTTGCGTTTTAATTTTAAGTTGTAGACATTTTGCTTCGACGTTAACGATTTTCCTGAAACAAATCATATAAAAATTAAAACAATTAAGGCGCAACAAACAAATAAAAACATTTTCATTGTGTCAACGCATAGTTAAAAAATGAAGCAATGACAATATTCAAGCACCTGCATTGCTAAAATTTCTTCGAGATAAGTGAAGAAGCGCGTCTGTCAAAAGATCTACTCTTCTACTGGCAGACATCTCCTTAGTAATTGCTGAGAACCCACGAAGGTAAGCCCAGAGCCTTTCAATAGCCTCACCATCTGTAAGACCAAAACCATCGAGCCTTCTAGGACTGAGCTTGACCTGTTTTTTTTGAAGATAATAAAAAATAATATTTTACCTACGGGGACTTTTAATCAAGGAAGAAACCAGAGCAGAAAAGATTGTCTTTCTTCAATCGCTACATCATTACCCAGGGATGTACTTTTCTAGAGGGAGGGGGTGCTCTAGTTTGGATAAAATTCTAGTGGCTGCTTGTTGCCGTAACATGCAAGACATTTTTCGTTAAATTTTGTTACTTATATACAATGATTGGAGATTTTGAAATTGTGCTCCAAACCCCAATTACGATAGCTTGATGGTTTGATATACATAAATTTCTTAGGAAATGCCACCTCATCCATCTCCACTAATCAAGGTTGGAGGAGAGCACATTCCTCCGCTATCCCGCCTCTTAATCCATCCCTGTCAATACCAGGTACAAAGCTTTATTCATTACCTGGCATGAAGCCTTGTGTCCATAACAATGAAATATCGGCACCGAAATTGACACTTTTGACAAAATGTCATGCCTCTTGTTTGCCTAGAACGATACCAATTTATTCAAAGTTTAGTTGGTGAATGAACTTGTCCCACATCATACATGCCAACATTAAGATACCTTTAAATGTGATGATAATACACATCCAATATCATACATTACTTTTAAATCAACACCAGGACTTTGGTCAGCATCTTTTAAAATGCTTTGGATTAGGAACAGCGAATACGAAATTCTGAATATTAATAATAGGACACTAAATATTATTAAAGGGTAATAATAGATCACGTTAGCACAGAATCGTTTTGTCCTTTGTCCCTTTATTTCAAAATTGACACAGGAAAAGAAATTATAACCCGACGATTTGTTGTCCATACCACCTAATCAAAGATCAACAATATTGATAATTGAATGAAGACAATTATTTAATGAGACAATTGCTTAAATTGTCCAACAAAGTGCGAAGATCATATCTTCATTCAATTTCAAACACGCACTTCATACAACAATCTTTAATATTGATAATTACGTGCAAACCTGACAGTTTACACAATCAAGACATAGACCATGTATAAACATGATAAATTAAAGGAAAAGAAAAAAATTGGCTGTTTGTAATTTTGATTTTAAATCCACGTAGCTACTTACGTATGTATCAGGGCCCATGGACCTGCATGAAGCATAGACCCACTTTTCTCAGGGGCGAAGCCTGCCCAATCTTTTACTCTTACGATGCAAATTTGTCAGCAAAATTGTTAATAATTTCTTTAGAAAATCAAATCCATTCATTGTTTTTCCAGTGATTGAATACAAAATATTTGCAATGTAAAATAGGCTGGCTTTGCCATTGCTTTTCATTGGACTACAATAAAGTTTGTTTTCAAACTATTCACTCCCCCTTTCCAGAATACTTTTGAATAGGCTTCAAAGTCCTTCATCATGCAATAATTACCTCTCCTACTTTGTTATTAGACTTGCTATAATCATCAACAAAATCATCTACTTCATCCTGATCAGCAAACTTAAGGCAGCCACGGTTTGGGACAGCAAAACTATTCCCTGCCAACTTTTTGCGAGTTAGACCAAAGCAAGCATCCATGGAATGAATGGCCACACCTAACTCACCAGTCTAAAGCAAACAAAGCTCTTTAATAAAATGAAACGAATTTTATGGTAAACATGTAACACTTCATATTTCACAACAACTTTAAATGTTCTGATAATATATGTGACAAAAAACATATAATTTAAAATAGTTCACAAAGCAAATAGTAGAAAAAAAGAAATCAAATACTGACTTGTGGGCAAAGAGGGCAATTTCTATAATCAATCAGGTCTTTCTGTATGAACTTTAATGATCTGACTTGGTGTTTGAAAATCTGACAAATCAAATTCTTAAATGATATAATATATACAGTCAAACCTCTTGTATCAAATGACCCTGTACTAAGCAGATACTGTGTAAAATCCAAAACTTAATCTCATATAGCTAATAATGATGAAAGTATAATGATGAAACCTCAATCAAGCTGACACTTTCATTAAGCTGACACTAGTCTGTTGTCCAATGGTGTGTACTTAAAACAGGTTAGACTGTACTACTCTACACATATAATCTAACTATTAGGTCTACAATAACTGTAAATAGACTTTTGTTTTATAACATATAACATACCTGTATTCATCGAATGATCCATTGTTTAACACATTATATATGTTTTGACCTTAAAAGAATAAAATGAACACCTAGTAAACTTGTGCATTTGTTTCAAAAATAAAATAAAGTTGAATACACAAAGTCATAACAGCAAAGGAAACTTCATGTATAATTTGAATGTGCTCTTATCTTATTTGAGGCAAATACGCATTATTTATGTTGTTTGTAAAAAACAGTGATTCAATAAAATTTTTTGCAAAGTATAACCCATCTATTTCCACTATTTGATGGGTAGACTATCACATGGGTACACAATTCAGGTTTATGAGAAATACATACCAGTCTAGGTAGCATTTCAGGATATTCAACTTCAACAGTGCTGCAAAATTTGTGCAAGGATACATGGCTCTCGCAAGAATTTTTCAGCAAAATCCATGAAGTCAAAGTGAAATGCAATTTTGGGTTTAGAAGATGAGCCTGGCCACAGCTGGAGTTTAATTAGTTTTTCAGCATCCTTAATACACTGACAGAATTCAACAATTTTAAATGCTGCCTAATTAAATTGTATGAGATAAAAATTGATTAATTGATATGCAAATAATTAACATAGAAATTATTGGCCTAAATGAAGCTAATACTTAACAGTATTACTAACATATACACATTTACATGTAGTCAAAGTCAAAATAACTATTGTTGCCATACTGTACCCTTTCCATCCACACATATTATAGTACGTGATTGTGTTGAAGAGCAGTTAGCATGCTGAGTCACGTAATATACCACCAAAAGTAATGGAACAAACATTTCACAATCAGTCTAAAGAGTAGTTATTTAAGCATCAGAACATGTATACATTCCATATAGGCACCATGCACAGCATATAGCAGCATATCCTTCTTGAAAATGATTGATAGTTTTAACAAAATACTACAGATTAAGTTACTTTAGAGTTAAGACATGGTTGTAAAAAATTGCCAGCATTTGATGAATACTAGAGCTTAACAAGCCAAATTCCAAATGTAAAAAGCAAAAATATTTCATCTGAAGAATTGACTTTGGAAATAATCACCTAGAATTGCCTTCTAATAGACGACTTAACATTTATGTTTTGCTGGCAGGCAAATTTTATAGGGATTCATCTGTGCCGCCAGAAAGAATTAAGCTTACCTTCCATACTTCAACCAAATGGAAAACATTCCTCGTTCGATGAAGGGATTCCACTCAAACAGTAGAACTGTCCGTGACCGCAATCACGACATCTAATTTCTGCTTTCTTTGCTGGTATCCCATCTTCTACACATTTTACGCAGAGTTTTCCTGGTAACATGGCACAATTTTCGATGTACGACTTTACTAAATTATTTTGCAAACACTTCCAGGATTCGCTTTCATTCACTCTCCTCCTTTCATATCGAGATCCAATTCCACGTATTATTTGTACCTTCGTTAAGGTTTTCTTGAAAGCCTTCAAATGTATCGATCGTACGAACTGAAGAACAACATTAGAGAGAGAGAAATATTTTCCTACTAAGTTTCCCAGCAGCAGAGTATGTCTTCACAGTCAAAGAGTATGGTTTTACCCTGCGATTGCCGCCCAACTAAGCGCCATCTTTTCTGTCTGTCTCACACTAACAGTGTCCAGAGATATTGAGGTCAGGAGAGACAAACATAGCTTTTAGATTGCACAGAAAGCAATCTAAATTGGCTATCTTCCGCATTCTAAAAGTTTAGAACTCTGAGTAATACCCATTTAGAATGAGCGAAACGGGTGATCATAGCGTGTTTTCCCATGTAAGACTTCTTCAAGTAAGTATTATCAAAATGCACATTAAGGAAAGCGTCGTAATGTTGATACATGTCATGCAATGAGAGCCTTAATTCAAATGGGTGTAATAATGCTTCTACTCCAGTTTCAAAAGGTGTAATTAAGCCTCCACCTCCACTATCATTATTTAAAATCAAAGCCTTACAGACATTTTCAAACGTGTCTGACACAAGAAATTCTGTGTTACTAAATTGAAAACGAAACTTTTCACAAAACAAAAAATCAAATTTATTAAGTCTGCTAAAACCACTTAAAACTGCATTAAGCATGAAGAATATTTAATGTTAAATGAAAGTAGTAGAGCTTGAAAGAGATGTAAGAATAACCATAACACTAGAAGATATTTAAGCTCTCAACACATCTCTTCTTTCAAGCTGTTTAAGGCAAACTCTGGCATTGTAGTGTTCACAACAAATATCACCTACAATCGTCCGAAATACATAATTACACGAATCGAAGTGAATACTTTGCATCATCACATTTCACTTTATAAAGCAGAAGTATCGTTAACAATAAAACCTCTGTTAGGATTTGCTCATGAAGAATTATTTTAAGAAAGACGTTGGCGTGAAAGGTATTAAAACAATATTTAAGGAAATATTTTAAAATTGCTACAAAAAAAAAAAAAAAACAATAATAGCTATGTTGCAAACAAATGTCTAATGAAAATCTACGTAAACGAATCAAAACTAATTTCCTTGAACTAATTTCAAATTTGGACTAAAATATACTAAGAATAAGAAATATTAAGGTAAAACAAGTCTGAAAATTGTTCTTTCCATCTTAAAAGATTACTGCCTCAGAAAAATTACGAGGCCTTATTTTCATGGATGTAGATTTTAAGGAATAGTAATTTCCATGCCCTCCAGTTAATACCATCAGCGTATGAAGAGTGTTTACCATGATGATAGATCCCGTTTAAATTAGAAGCATGACAAAATTACTATACCACCATGCGCCTTTATAAATAACTGCACAATTTGCTGAAAAGATTTATCGTTGTCAGAGTCTTTTAGTAAAGGCCATTCCCTTGTGGGAACTTTTAAACGAATCACCAGCTGTTCCTAAGTATTCGTTAAAACACAATGTTATTTGTTGTTTAAGTGCCTATGAATGAAATTTGAGCGACTAAGTTGTGCGGTAAATAAGCAAAACCTAAATAGAAATTTCAATGCATAAGACTTTGTTTATAACATCTCAAACACAATATATCTTTACACTATGTTAATAATTTACTAGTCATATAACTGCTATCTACTCCATGAAGTTTGGAAACATCAGTACCAAAATTGCTTGAACAAAATATGAATAGTATTATAAGAATATTGTATTTGTGTTTTGGCTTCAAAGAAACAAAATGTACGATTTTAAAGAGCAAACAAAATCACATATTATATTCAACACATCATAACAACACTGTTGAGTTGCTTTTTGTTTCCTGCCTCGTCAGTTTGAATCATTGTTTTACAGTGATAACGAAGAGCATGACCCAAATGAAAATTGTATTTTTCGGGAGCATGTAAAGCAAAGATCATGTTGTTAGTTCATTGTAAATAATTTCATTCAAGTTAACTTATATGAAACTATTTGCCTACGTTATCCTATGAAGAAATTAACAAGTGAATGTCATCAAGTGCACTCAAGGTTACAAAAGTGTTACCTCGTTAGAAGGCACCAAGGAATACCAAAATTTAGTTTGTTTCAAGAATAAGGCATCGTTGGGATTAATGACGGGTTTACACAGTTTGGTCCCTCACAAAGCAGCTTTTTAACAACTGTCACAATTGGCATAAATCTGATCTTAATTGGCTTTTATGTTAAAAACACCATTTAAGAAGCTACTTCAATATAGAGTTGTATGTAAAATCACATGTCCACGATGTAGCTCTTGCTATGCTGGCCAACAAGATGTCAGTTACTTCACTGTAATAAGGAGCATCATAGCAAAACAAGTCCCGTGTAAATCACTTTTAGTTTATGTAATGACAGTTTTAGGATGGAAAATGTATGTTAATTAGAGAGTTCGTCAAGATCTACGACTCACTTAAAGGCCAATTTCCATTTCGGTCGCTTTGCTCGCGCGTGCAGGGCATACGTTTTAGCATGCTATAAACTACGTCATTGGCTTCTCTCGGACTTTGTGGACGCTTGCGCACACGCTTTAAAAATTGAAAAATTTCGACTTTCTTATCGTGGGAAGCATGGAACACATGAATGATATCAACCAATCACCAAGAGTTAAGTCGCTAAGGGAAGTCTGGCTGGTATAGTTATAAAAGCATCACCAGTGACCAGGTACCTCAGTGTTATTGTCAGTCTGTCGTCTAGTCCTATGGCTACGTGTCGTTTTACCAGCATGTGATGCTGGAATAACTAAACCAAGTAGCTCTTCAAATGTACTTGGGTTTTTTGGAAACATTTGAAAAAAGATTATGCTGAATAACATTGATATTCGCCTAAAGTGTGATATTCGCCATTACTTTTTCCATCTAAATAGATTTTCCTCGCCCAAAATCGTTTTCTGTATTTCTTTCGTTGCAATCGCCGTCTTAATAATATCAGAGTCAAGAGTCTTCTATTTAAAGCTACTATCTTTGACAAGTTTTTACATTACCGCGCGCAAAATAGTTTAATGAGACTGTTTTAAACGCGCGTACGAATGCTTAAAATTGTTCTCCTGCGCTGGCAAAACGACCGTAATGAAAATCGTCCATAATGACTTTAGCAACATAGCAGATTAATGCCATTAAACCCTCTCTAAACACTAAAAACGAATATAGGACTCGCGTAGTTGTTATGAAAATATATAAGATAGCATTATTATACTTTAAATTGATAATCGAAGCTTTGTTAATTCCTATGTTAAATCTTTTAAAAGGCTTGCAC